CACGGGTTCTTCGTTCATGTTCCCGCTTTGGATTTACGCCCCACTGCCTTGTCGGTCGGACTTTGAAGTTGAAGGCTTCGGTTAGGGTTCCCAAAGAAAAACCCCTTTGTCGGTTTGGGCAACCACGAAGTATGCCGTGCCCAAAAGTCTTAGGTACCCATTTGGAGAACCGTTTTTCTCAGCTGTCTATTTCCTCTTCTCACTCCCATACCTTAAGAGATGCATCCTGTTTGCGCCGCCCATCGGATACCACTCAGTGTTCAACTAATGAGGCAAACCACTCAGCGGATATCAGATTTTTGAAACCAAAATCTCCTTTCCACTTAGCCGCACTTAATGTCCGTACACTCTATCAGATTGGCCAAAAAGCTGCCTTAGTCAGAACCCTTGAAACCTTCCATTTAGATGTATGCTGTGTCTCCGAAACACGCATACAAGACCCTACTTCAATCAACTCCTTGCGTTCTCCAGATCCAGCCTCATCTTCACCCTTCACTCTCCGTGTGTCAGACAATCCGATATCCGGTGCTCGTGGTGTTGCTGGCGTTGGGATTGCGCTAAGTGTCCAGGCCGAGCGTTCACTTCTTGATTGGATCCCGGTTAATAGCCGACTTTGCGCCGTACGTCTGGATGGTTCAGTACGCGTCAACAGCTACAGAACGAAGCGTCGATGCTTATTCGTTGTATCCGCGTATGCACCGACCGATTGCAGTTCACCAGAAATAAAGGATGAATTCTACGAGGACCTCTCTCAACTGCTCCAAAGTGCCCGGTTAATGGACATAGTGGTGGTCACAGAAAACTTCAATGATCAAGTGGGATCCCTGGACGAATCGGAGAGGCTACTTGGTGGTTCACATGCAATTCCAGCCAACCGCACTGACAACGGAGAATGCCTAATCCAACTTTGTGCTGACCACGGACTGTTTCTGTCAAGCACGAACTTTTTGCACAAAAAAACGCCACCGTCTCACATGGAGACCGCGAACCGCTTCACAGTGCTGGACTCAAATAGACCACATTGCCATTAGCCACCGCTGTCGAGGATCCATTGAAGACTATAACTCCTACTGGTCAACACCCGTAGACACGCACCATGCTCTGCTAAGAGCGAGATTCTCACTACGCCTAGTAAACAAACGCAGAAAAGCCACCGAAAACGGATGCCCAAGATACAATGTCAGTGATGGTTGTAAATCGGCCCTCGAAGCGGAACTATCAGATCGTCTCTCAGCACAACCATCAGCCGGAGGACTCAGTGAGCACTGCACGGCAATCAAAATGTCAATCAAAACCACAGCAAATTCTGACTCACGATCAAATAAAAAACGCTGGATCTCCCCGACTTCGGTTGCCCTGCTGGACGTTCGCAAAGCCATTCCTTCGGATTCAAACTACAACAAAACGCGCAAATCCCTTAAATGCCAGATCACTATGAGTTTGAGGAGTAACTGCGAGAAGTGGTGGGTAGGAAAGTGTAGAGAGATAGAGAAGGCTGCGGCTATCGGTAATAGTCGAAATCTTTTCCGATTAATTAGGAGTACAGGTCCAAGGTAAGCAGGCGTGAGATAATTGAAGAGTCCCACGGCACACTGATCCATATTCAGCAACACCGTCTAGATCGAATGGAAGAACATTTTAGGGCACAGTTCAGCTTGCCCTCGTCAGCACGAGACTTCGCTACACCCGATTCAACTGTGCAAA